AGAAAAAGTATCATACAATTTTTGCAACCTTACTTATACAGACAACGTTGAATTTCAAGAGAGTTTGAAATTTTTACTGATTTTTTTCTAAAAAAGACTAAACACTGGAACTGGATGAAGCAAGTAAAAATTATTACGAGAAGCTACCAATACCCAATTCGAGGTCCCATCCTCATGTCCAAGTAGCCTTGTGAAAAACTTCTGATCGCAAACTATTCAGAAAACAAGTTTCTATGGATAGCTTTACAAGGCCAAACTGTGCATTGGATAGGCGCACAGTTTTGTGTCTGTATGTTCCTGGACTTCCAGAGACAATCTTTAAATATATTCCAAAAAGTAAATGGATTCCAGTTGCAAAACTTCCGTGGAGTCCACGTGCAAATATCTGTAATGTAAAATTTGTCGGCACGTTTTTTGTGTGTTGCGGATTCCGCTACAAGCGAACTTAGCTAGTTTTTCTGGATTCCGCAAACTGTAAGTGAATTCCGAAATGTGTTTACTACTGAGCTTACATATGAACAATTAAAAACTAGAGCTGGAATTGTAACCTATAGCAATGTAGAATTTATAAGCAAGGACTTAACTATTGTCAGCGGAATCCATCAACAAATCTTAAATCAATTGTTAACTATATCAGTGGATGTCATCTTTTAATATTTGGGATACATATGCCATCAAGCTGTTTTTGGGATTATAGTTTTAGAAACTCAACACCGAATAAATTCATTATTAGTAGTCGATAGGTTGAGAGTGTTTGGAAACAAAACACACAGCATATCGCCTAATTACGTCAGTTTTGGGAATCCATCAATCCCAATTTTTGATCAATTCGAACCCGATTTTAGTGATTTCAAATATTGAGGGCAGTATTTAGAAACACAACCACGGAATAAAATCAAAGTTTGGGATTATAGTGGGTTTAGAGTACTTAATTTCAAGTCATCAGTATTCGAGATGAGAAGGTTAGTTAAAAGTTAAAATGATCATATTTGAGACGAGATGCTTGGTTTAAATTGTTATTATTTGAGATGAGATGGTTGGTTAAAAGTATTAATTTAACGTTAATTTCAAAAACTCAGAGATGTTCATGAAAATGTTGCATTATCGAACTGTTCTGGTATGTTCTGGTTTATCCCCAATTCGCTAGTTGGGATCAAAAATAGGGTGGGTGCGTGACAGAATTGAGATCAATTTTGAGTGTTTGACAGGAATTGAGATCCAATTTGAGTGTTTGACAGGAATTGAGATTGAAGTCGGGTGTTTGACGGGAATTGAAATTGACGTTAGGGGCAGGAATTGAGATCGTATGTTTGACATTTCAACTGGTAGTAGATCAACTGAGTAACTGAGATTGAAATTGCTGGTGATGACAAAGTGAATAAATGATACAATTTAAGACGCTAATACAAGTATATTTATATGTAACTGGAATGCGCAAATAAAATCGAATTCTTCTTAAAAGTTGCGGGTTCCACTTACAGTTGCAAGTTCCGCAACAGCTCGTTTCAACTATATTCATGTCTTGTTATTTGTTTGTAAATTTCACAAACTAATCCAAATTCCGCAAAAACTTATCCGGATTCCACAAATTCGCAAATTTTTGGAGCAATTTTGAGCGGTACAGTGTTTTAAGTATTTGTCTGTGGAATCCAAAACGGCAAAGAAGATCTAAAAAATGCACATAATGCACATTTTGGCCTTGTAATGAGAGCCTGAAGTAGATTGGATTTGAATAAAGCCTCTATTTTGAAACAGCGCTCAGATTTTGCTTTATTTTTTGTTGAAAACTACTCGCTTTCTCAACATTACAAGCTACACATTTTGTTCACTGTTTGTATCATTTTTCTCAGTTATACAAGGTCAGTTGAGACCATTGCTCCAAAATTTTGATTTTGTGATGAACTTTGATTCTGAAATTGATTTGAAAAATTTTGTTCCAAAAAATAATTTTAAGCATTTTGCTCTGTTTGTATTCGAGGTGACAATGCAATTGTGAGATACAACTTCATGAATTTTCCAAACTTTATGGATTTTTCAGTTCAAGCCCAAGACATGGTTAGATTAATGCGAGAAAGATTCAACAAATAACATATGATAAAAATAAATGAAAAAGAAAATAAAAAGCGTCTTTGACCATGGACACTAGCCATGCTTTGCGCTATTTCAAGAAAGTGCTGCACTGTCTTTTTGACTTGAAATTGACTGTTGCGTTCTATTTATTTCATTTTTTTGAAAAAAAAAATTCTTTTGAAAAGTTTTGAATCAACTTTTTTTTAGTGAAGAAGCGTTTTGTGAAGCAACTTGAAATAATAATATTTTTAGTACATTTATTTTAAAAAGCAATTGTTTTTTTTGCATCATGATAAATTCAACACAAAACTTCTTTGATCATTCCATTTACATAGAAAAAAACTTCCACAGAAAAATTACCCTGTAACTTACCCTATAAGTTTTAGTTTGATGCCTTAATTTTGGCACATTCTTCGATTTGGATAAATTATCTTTGTTTTGATGAAAGCACTTTCTGAGAGTACTGCATATCATTAAATACGGCGTAATCTTTATTGAGCTTACAAAACTTCCAAAAATGAACTTTACGTAGGGATTACTTCTATAAAAATTTATGATTATAAATACAAACACGACTGCTCGTATCAGGACAGCGCTTTGAATGTTTCGACTGTCATCAAACTAGTCTCGAATAGTTTTTGGCTAATGAAAAATTGACAAACTATGAATTCTAAGCTGAATATTGCGAATCGTGTATGGAATTAATAAGATCACTTAGCCTGCCTCAAGTGAATTTGGAGCAACTTTGTGGTGCGGGATAATTTGCCGCGCGTAAAAAAGTGTGCGTTAAGCTTCAGCATCAAAAATCGCGGCGCTCTTATAGTCATGTGAGTTTTTTAATGAGCGTTTCACAACAAGCTTTTTGCCATGATAGTCTAGTAGTGAGGGCACACCTTCTGAACCACGACGATCCATGGAGCGATCCCCCGAGGGAAAAATTTTGATAGTTGGTCTGAATAAAAAACCATCCCGGAGCAAATATATCCCTTACTTTCTTCGAAAGTAGGAAGAAAAAATCTTTCTTTTGTCCAGAGCAAGAACGATTTTTGTTCAGAACCAATTCTATGCATTGCAAAAGTAATCCGTTCGAAGTATCCAGATTTGAACCGTTTCGATGTCAGTTTAGGTATGCCAGGTGAATTGTTACACTTACTTTCATTCCATTTGTCAGGCTTATCGCAGCAACTCTTTTCCAGAAAAGACTTCCCAAATTGATTTTTTTCTTATTGAAATTAGAAGTATACTATAGATTTGCACGGACGCAAAAAACACCGATCGTGGTAGTTTATTTTAGAGAACTAGCATTTTATCGAAAAAACTAGGAAGAATTTGAACGCCGTTCACTTATATTTTGCTCACTACTTTAGGAAATTTCAATAACCTAAAAACTTTTGAGCGTTAAATTATCAATATCAAAATAAAGAATTACCCCAATGGCTTATGCCGAATAGCTTAATTGCCAATTCTTCAACGCTTTAAGTTTTCAATCATGACTTTTGAATTTTTCAGTGATTTTTATAAGAAAAATTTGATACGATACTTTTTTTTGGGCTAATTGTAGCTTTTGTAGCTTTCGTCTGATGAGATTCATCGACTTATAAATGTCTCATAACGGATAAATGCATGTATAAAATGTTGCATTTAAAATAATTAATAAACATCGCAAGACTCATTTGAGTCCTAACTATTATCTTTTAAAGCAGAGTCTTAAAATTATAGACTGTCAAAGAAATTGTCAGACTTTTTTGAATTGAAACTCATTGGACAATCTCGATGCCTTTGATACGCTTTTACAACATCAATTGTGGGCAGATCAACCTTAAAAAATCAGCCCTTTTTAATGTTTTTGTTTCACAAAATAAGAAGTGTTCTTAAATTTTAAAGAGTTTTAAGTGTTTTTTGGAGAGTTTCAAAGATTACTTCTCCCATATTTAAATAATTTTGTCTCCACTTTTTCATAAAATAGACGATTCTTTTAAAAAAGCAACCAAACATTGGGCTTAATTGGGTTCATTTTGGCCGGGCTTAATCACTATAAAAAAAATTCAACTTTTCCTGAAAATGGAAAAATGAAGCCGAAAATGGAAAAGAAAAG